GTTGCGATTGAGAGCAGAATTGGCGTAACACTCGTTGTTTGAGACAACAAGAATTAGAGAACGCTCCTTATCTTATTCAATGAATTTGAATAAGTGAGTAAAAAGTGAGTCCAAAAATTATTTTGTGTGTCAAACGATGAACACGAAAATATTTGAATAAAATTTTTTTGCTTTCCAAAAATATTTTCTAATATGAAAATAAATATTTTGATAAATTTTTGACACTCCTTTTGAAACCGACTCAATAAAAGTATTTTGAACAGTTAAAAGATTTTTCAACTGACTCCAAAAATAAATATAATTTTTATTTTAACTCTCACAAAATTATTTATGGAGAGAAGATTATATTTGTCATCCTTATAATAGTTCCTAAGACTCAAATAAATAAAAAGTCTTCGCAAATCTTCTACTCCTCCGAGTCCTCCGTTAGGCATTCCGAACGCGTGTTGGACTCCAATAAAATCCTGTGCACCTTCTTGAATACTTCAAGGAATGGCACTTCAATTTTTCGTGTTTGTCGTCGTAGGACTTTGATCTTGACTTGAATAAATTGTGTTTGTCAATTATCAAAACATGTGAGTCAACACTTAACAACACAGAAAGGGTTGAACTCATACATTCCAACAATGGATACTTATTCTCAAACCGTTAATGTCATCATAGTTGTTCTATCTTCAAGAGATTAACAAAGGTATTCATCAATCCTTTTGCAAATTCCCGTTTGAAGTCAATGTCAATAAATAAGTTTCCTTAGCATTATATTTTGGAGTACACTTGACATATCTATACATAACGTTGTTTATTCACAGATCTTGTTTGTTTGTTTGTTCGTCATTGGTCAACAATATTTTTTTTCTTTGATTGAAAGTTCTTCGATAGCCCTTGTAGTTTTGAATCATTATATTAACGGAAGGTATTTTTAGGGGTTTGAAGTTTGTTATAATTCATACGTCATAGTGTAATCTTGTAACACCCGCCTTCCGTGGATCCGGTTCACCCGCGACCCAACGGACTGGTAGAGTTACATGGACTGTCCGAGAACCGTCCGTTACAAAAACATTAATGATTATTTAATAAGAAAACAGTTGGGTTTAAATTAGTGAAATAAATGCCAGGGAGTTACTCCCAAAACGTGTGTAATAAAAGTGCAGAGTAATGCGGAAGTAAATAAATAAGTCCAGTCCAAATTAAATAACAAAAAGGGTGGGTTCATGCCCAATTAATTAATTAAGTTTATGGAAATAAATAAAAGCCCGTCCGCGCGCCGCCCATCTCTCCATCGTCACTGCTCTCCAGGATTAGCACCCGCACCGTCATGTCTACCTGCGTGTAGCAAAGACAACTACACGCTCAGCTTAAGCTGAGGAGTGAATCTAACAAAAGAACATTAAGTGATAACCCATATGGCTATACACATATTAATACCTGTACTTAACGTACGGGAAAAACCACATGTTACTAATTGTTTAGTTTCCACCTGTTAGAGCTATTACAAACCACAAGGTGATTGGAACATACATGATGATGATATGACTTGATGCAAGACTTGAACTATCATAAACACCCTTGACTTAGTCTCACTCGACAGGATCACCCCTGCACTCCAGTCATCGTCCCCGAACGGTAACGAGCCGGGCATGGAAACCCGTTGGTCCCCGAAGGTTCCTGGACGGGCCCACTGTAGTAGGCGCACGAAGTCCTCCCTACAGCGGTATGCACATGATGAAACCTAAGACATGCGTCTAGAATGAACATGATGGATGCTTGATGTTTTTTACCTTTGGTAAATGCCGAGAATATATCAATTATATAACATTTAAAATAAAGATTAACTTTTCATGCAAGAAACGATCAGATTCTGGGTCAACGGGCTCGTTCTACAAACTGCCCGGAAGTCTGCCCGTAGAACGATCGACCGTACCCTACCGGCAGTCGACCGTGGACTGCGTTTTGGGGAACTGGATGGCCGACAGTCCACCGTGGTCTTCCGTCGTGGCCGGAGGTCGACCGTCACGGTGGTGACCGTCGGATTCGCCATGGGTACGGTCCACCGTCTATAGCGGCGGTCGACCGTCCCGGAGGCAATCCGCTGTCCTTTACCCTGTTTTGGTACGTTTTGCTAATTTAACACCAAGATTCTTTTTAGAACAATAACATAACATTTATGAATATATTTCTAGTGATTCCTAGGCCAAAATTTATAGGTTTACGTAATGAACATTTCGGTGATTAATCTACGAACATGTATGGATTCTATGTAGGTTGCGTATGATATTTCTATGAATATAACGACATAGATTATAACTTAATGTTCTAGAATTAGAGGGGACAACTACTCACCTCTAAATGAAGGGGTTGACGGAATGAGATGAACGAATGGTGCCAAAGAACGGACGAACGACGACTACGCTTCGCACGAACACCCTAGCCCTTCTTCTCCTTCAACCTTGCACCCGCCGGAGCTTGGCCGGAGGTCGTCCTCGCTGCTGGTCTGGCCGAAAATGAGAGAGGGAGGGAGAGAGAAGATGAATTGTGTGTGGGAGTTACAAAAATGTGAGGGGATGAATGGGAAAGGTGTGGGTTTTTAAGTTATGGGAATAATGAGGAGAATGAATGAGAGTGATGGTGAGTTATGGGGAATGAGTGGCGTAAGGGGTGAATTTTGGGGGTTACAAATGTTTATTCTACTCTTTAATGTAAAATCTGACCTGAACGGTATGCGCTTTTCCCCCCAAACGGGTCCGAATTGAGATCCGTTTGCGTTTCTAGAATCAGGCAGTCAAAATGAATTTAATGATATGATCAAATAATTTTTCTAAGAACTTTTGAATTTCCCCAACTCTGGTCCGGAACAGTAATTAATTAATTAAATTAACCAATTCTATTAGACCGGGTTGCAGGGTGCTACAAATCTTCTAAGTCTTCAAGAAATCTTCACATCATTCATATAATTCAGCAACGACTTGTAAGTAACATCAAATGCATTTTACTGGTTCATGATTTTCATAATATAAAGTATTATTTATGAGGAAGTACTATATATCGATCGATTATACAGTAGCTTGTCACCATCGATCTTACGCCGAAACATCTCTTCGTTCACTTCATGGTAGTTCTCATTATTATCAATGAGTCTTTGTATTAGTTTACACTCATAGGTGTTGACGTTCGACTGGTGTCTCATATACGTCTTGTCATTTTCAACTTTCTTTCTTTGATTTTGGAAGTATATCAAGATACCTTCATGAAAGTGACATGTTTGATTTTAACACTATGGTTGATCTCGTTTCGAGGAAGGAAGAGAATATATTTGGTATGTGATTCAATTTCTTGAATTTATAAAGTAAGGAATCTTACTAGTTCTTACACTAATATAACATATAGGTTTGGTATTTTCGCTTTGAATAATTGAGATCCTTGTGACATCATTTCTTCTCTAGTTGTTGGACATACATTCCCTTGTTAGGGTCAAAATAGAGTTTCTTGATCATCATCGATAATAATCTTCATAGATAACGCAATTGCATCGATCGTTTTGCAGTTCACAAAGGGAGATTTAAGATAAAGTTCAAGTCAGGGTAGTTTCACTATTGTGATCAAGCACGTAGTTCATTAAGTATAGTTTTCGAAGATCGGTATCATAAAGCATCATAAGTTGAGACAAGTTTTCAATGATTTGATACAAACAATGGAATTGAATCTTTTCAAGGTTGGTCAAGTGAGATGTTTCAAGTGTGAAATTAATACAACAAATTTGAGTATTGTAAGACTACAAGTGGGGTGATTTGCACAGGGAATGTTTTCTTCATTCAACTTTCCAGGGCAACTTCCGACAAGAACCGTGGCTACCTCCGACAACTTTGTCAGTGACGATCACTTGCGGTCTATTCTCTATACTCTAATAAAACTATAGGAAGAAGAATGAAGAATTTTGGTGGAGAATTGAATGAGAAATGAGACTCCATTTATAGGTGAAGAAGGGGAAGAAGATGAGTGTGTACTTGCTCCATTTTGTGATTCCTTTGCTCATCATTTGGTTGAGTGGAGGAAGTGGAGGAGACGGCTGCATTATTTTAATTCCTCCACTATTTTGATTAATTTATCTTAATTGGGGTACACTTTTAGGTCCAACTTTCTCCAAATTGAAATATGATTGCACCGTTGCAATCAGACTGTCAAACACTACACAATGATATAATTGTTATATTTTTATGAAATACTTTTCATGGTATCATATTTATAGGTGTTGACTTTGACAGAGTCAAAATTGAATCAATTGACATATAATTAAAAGTACTCTAATATTCAATCCATATTATTTAACTTATATAACTTATTTCAATATATCATTTTACAAAAGTTCATATCTTTAACCACTACTCATTTTTATGCAAATTACATATTTAAAATGTCACAACTCAAAATCCGTACATTAGATTTGTTCATAAAATATATCGTTGGTTTCGTCTCTTCGAGACCTATTCATAAAACTAAGTTTTAATAAAACATCATTGACTCCAAAAATTCCTTTTTTTGGTCTAACATAAAAATAATATTTTGTTGGGTCAAAATATTGTTTTGAATTTTTTTTATCATAAAACAACTTTTAGGCCGTGTTTTGGGGCGTTACAGTTCGGATCTTGCAGTTGTTGAAGAAGTGTGACCTTCGAAGGAACAACAAAGCCAGCACGAGTGCAGTAGCAATATTGGTCTTGCGAAGATATACCGTGCAGAAATTCACACAAGTGTAATTGTTGGTTCATTATTCAACAACCAACTACATAGTGGATTTTGAGGACGTAGAAGGATTACCCTACCTTCGAACCTCGTTAAAGTTTGTGTCTCTCTCTCTTTTATCTTTACTTATACTTGCACTTATATTAACTGTGAAACTAACTCATCCATATTGATTACTGCTCCAATAACCCACCAACTTCCGCACACAATCTAAGTTCACAAGAACGTTAGATTAACACTAATTTTCAGGTTTTCAAAAGAAACGAAAAAGTTTATAAATTTGTAACAAAGTTTATTCACCCCCCTCTAGACTTTGTATCTCACCATTTAAGGGACCACCAATTGGTATCAGAGCAGAACTCTCACTATCTACATTTAGATTAAAGAGAAGCGATAATAATGGTGAACAATATGGATCACGGTTTGCCCAAGTTTACTCTTCTAGGTTATGATGATTGGAAGATCATGATGGAAGCACACCTCTACGCTCTACATGACTGCATGTGGATGGTGCTTGAAGATGGATCCTTGATGATTCAAATGGAGAATCCAGAGAGGGATCTAACCAACCCTGATGTAGTCCGGTACATTCTAAAGCCCAAAGAGAAATGGGATGATAGAGATTGCAAAAAGCACAATCTGGAGAACGTCGCCAAAGTAGCCATCTTCAAGACACTTGATCCCATCACCTTTTCCAAAATCAAGCATCTCAAGACTGCCATGGAAATATGGCAAGGTCTTGGGAAGCTGTGAGGGATCAGAGGATCTGAGGAAGTAGGAGATAGAGGTTCTTCTTGAGAAGTTCAAAAGCTTCAAGATGCTTCCCGGAGAATCATTTGACTTGCTGGATGAAAGATTTCACAAGATCCTAAATGATCTTGCATCACTTAACCACGTTATTTCGCCAAAGAGAACAACATAAGGTTGCTAAAATCTCTTCCAGCTGAGTGGTACACCAAAGCCACAACAATGGAAGAAGGAAGAAATCTGGAGAAGAAGAAGAAGGAAGAACAAGTACCCCCTTTTCCCACGGCACTGATGACAAATCCCAGAGTCTCAGCAAGCGAAGGGACATGCCCAAGGAGCTGTGACACTCCTTCCACCAGCCAGCCACCAAGCTCATAGACAAAGAACTACGAAGAGGAGCTTGCAATGATGATTAAGCAATTCCGAAAGTTCAAGAAGTTCTTCAAGAAAACTGACTCAGTTAGAAGGCCATCCAAGGGAAAGCTACAGGTAAGTAACTCTCCCCCCGAATCTTATTTGTGTTATAACTGCAGGAAGCCTGGCCACTGGAAGTTAGCTTGTCGGTACCCAAAGGTGGAGAAGTCCAACCATGAAGATAGGTGGACAATATCAGAAGATGAGACTCTCTGCCTAATGGCCAAAGATGATGCTGATTAAGAAGTAACTTCATAAACCTCATGCTCATCTTCTTATGAAAGCATACCAACTTCTGAAAATCTTTTTGACAAGTTCAAAAAGATGATGGAAGACTTTGAGGAAATAAATCTCAAATACTCATCCTTAATAGAGGAGAACAAGCTATTGAGTGAAGAGAATCTCAAATTGACTGAAGGTCGGAAAAGTAAACTAAGTGAGATCACTCAACTCAAGGCTGAGAATGAATGTCTCTCTGAGAAGGTGAAATCTCTCAACAAGGAGCTAGGGATACTGAAGTCCAAAGAAGTTATGGACAAGCTCTTGAAACGACCAAAAAAAAGGGTTGTGAAGGACTTGGGTTTGACCCCTCCAGTTCCAAAAGGAAAGGGAGAACAACATTCATTCCTCCCAAACCTACTGCCAAACCCAATAAGCAGAAAGGTAAGGAGAAGGAAAAACCAACAGAAGTTCCCAAGAAGGTTGTCCCTCCTAAGAACTATAGGAAGTTTGACAAACCTCATGGAGGAAACAATGTCAGAAGAAAACCCTATACCTCCCATCATACACAAGGCTATACTCATTATGGGGTAGATAGAAGTTTTCAGAGGAACAGTGAGTGGAGAAGTATGCCCAAATATTGTCATCCTCCACCCCAGAAATTATTTGTTCCACCTAAGTATGTTTATATTCATCATAGACCACACTATGCACAACCTAGACAAAACTATAGGTCTCACCAACCTAAGTTTGCTAGGAGGAAACAGGAATTTGCACCACCTGCACGTAGGAAGTTTTATGCCTACAACTATGACTATAACCCTAACAATTTTAGAGCTGCAAAGAAAATTTCCTGCAACTTCAAACTTGACGTGGGGAGACACACCATTAACTATTCTAAACCCAAACTGAATTGGGTACCAAGATCTTCCTCCTTCTAATGAAGGAAGCCACTAAGTACCCAGGTGTCTGGTACTTAGACAGTGGCTGTTCAAGACACATGACGGGTGATGCGAGCCTTTTGAGCAATCTAATTCCCTATGATGGTCCAAGAGTTACTTTTGGAGGAAGCAATGATTTTGGCCTTACAAAAGGGCTAGGAAATCTGGTGTACAAGGGACTAACCATCCAGGCTGTATCTTATGTGGAAGGTCTCAACTATAACCTTCCTAGCATAAGTCAGTTCTGTGTAAAGGTTACTCTCTGGAATTCTGCAAGGACATGGCATCCCTCAAGAACATCTCCACAAATGAAGTCATTCTCACTTGAAAGAGAATCAAGAACATCTATGAAGTGATGTGGGATGATGTCAAGGAAGCATGCCTAATCACCAAAGGTGACACTAAACTTCTATGGCTTTGGCATAAGAGGTTGAGTCATCTCAACTTCAAAACCCTCAACAAGCTGTCCAAAGAAGGGCTAGTGGAAGATCTTCCCAAAGCTGTGTACAAGAAGGAAAGCATCTGTGATGTGTTTCAGAAAGGAAAACAAGTCAAATCCACTTTCAAGGCAAAACCGGCACACTCAACAACAAGGATACTAAGTCTTATTCACATGGATTTATTTGGGCCTGTTACTCTAATAAGTCTAAGTGGAAAGAAATATGTCTTAGTAGTAGTTGAGGACTATTCAAGATACATGTGGACAATCTTCCTCAACAGCAAGAAGGAAACTCAAGTGAAGCTCACAAACTGCATGAAGCTGATTCAGAATCAAGCAAGGCAGACCATTCAGAAGATCAGATCTGACAAAGGAACAGAATTCCTGAATGAAATCATCATTCACTACAGTGAAGAAAACGGAATTCTTCATCAGACCTCCGTAGCAAGGACACCACAGCAGAATGGTGTAGCTGAAAGAAGAAACAGAACCTTGAAGGAAGCAGTAAGAACCATGCTAGCAGAAGCTTTCTTACCAAAAAGGTTCTGGGCTGAAGCTGTAAACACAGCTTACTATACTCAAAATAGGAGTATGATATATAAAAGGCACAACAAAACTCCCTGTGAACAATGGAATGGGAGAAAGCCTAATATATCATATTTCCACATTTTTGGGAGCAAGTGTTTTGTGTTAAACAACAGGAAGAATCATCTGAACACTTTTGATGAGAAATCAGATGAAGCCATCTTCCTTGGATACTCTCTGGTTAGCAAGGCATTCAGAGTCTTCAACAAAAGAACCATGATCACTGAAGAGTCAATACATGTTATTTTTGATGAAAAACATGTAGTTGACAAGCCATCAAAGCCTGATCATGAGGTTCTGGATCTCTCAGACAAAGATGAACAAGTCAATGAAGGAGATAAAATGAAGCCAACGAAGTGCATTCCATTCGGAAGTCTACCATTGAAGACTTCCCAGAGAAATCTAGATTCAGAGAGCGCCGAGCCTAACGGAAATCATGGCCAGCCTTGCGAAATCCCAAATCTGTCACATGGCGACAATTCCGGAAATGGTAATCAAGTGCCAATCCATCCAAAAACACCAACAAACTTCATTCTTCAACCAGAAGTGGAACTAGATCCGCCATTCAACCCTAATCAACACAATCTTTGTTGGTTAAGGGATCACCCTCAACAAATAATTGGAGATATTCAATCAGGAATTCCCACCAAGAGCGCTCAACAGAATCTATAAGCCATGCTTGCATGTTTCATCTCGCAAGTAGAACCAAAGAGCATTGAAGAAGCTCTAGCTGATTCTGATTGGATCAATGTAATGCAAGAAGAACTCAACCAATTCTCCAGAAATGATGTCTAGAGACTTGTTCCAAGACCTACTCATCAACATGTCATTGGGACAAAGTGGGTCTTCCGGAACAAGATGGATGAAAATGACGTTGTTGTCAGAAACAAAGCCCGGTTGGTTGCCAAAGGTTATTGTCAAGAAGAAGGTATAGATTTTGATGAAACCTTCACTCAAGTTGCTAGACTTCAAGCTATAAGGTTGTTTCTAGCCTTTGCTGCTCATAAGGACTTCAAAGTCTATCAAATGGATGTCAAAAGTGCATTTCTCAACAGAAACCTAGAGGATGAAGTATATGTGGAACAACCTCTAGGATTTGAGTTACACACTAAAGGTGATCAAGTGTATAGACTCAAAAAGGCGCTACATGGGCTCGAAATAGCACCAAGAGCTTGGTATGATATATTGTCGCAATTCTTAATAGATAATGGATTCATCAAAGGAGTCATTGACAAGACCTTGTTCAAACTTCAATATGGAGAAGATCTTCTATTGGTCCAAATCTATGTGGACGACATCATATTTGGCTCAACTAAGGAAGCTCTTTGCACCAAGTTCTCCACTCTCATGCAAGGAAAATTTGAGATGAGCATGATAGGGGAACTCAAGTACTTCCTTGGTCTTCAAATCAAGCAAAGAAGTGAAGGGACTCTCATCAATCAAGCCAAGTACATAAGGGATCTTATCAAGAAGTTCAAAGTTGATCAGAAGTCATCCGTTTCTGTCCCCATGAGTTCATCCACCAAACTTGACATGGATGTGGATGGAAAGGATGTTGATCAAACTCTCTACAGAGGAATAGTTGGATCTCTACTTTACCTTACTGCAACCCGTCCGGATATCTCATATGCAGTAGGTGTTTGTGCTAGATTTCAATCAAAGCCAAAGGAAAGCCACTTAATAGCAGCCAAAAGGATTCTTAGATACTTTAAAGGAACTCAGAACATGGGTTTTTGGTATTCTAAGAGCAGCTCATTTGAGTTAGTGGGATACTCAGATTCTGACTTTGCCGGATGCAGAGTTCACCGGAAGAGTACATCTGGCACTTGTCAATTCATTGGCGGAAATCTTGTTTCTTGGTTCACTAAGAAACAAAACTCCATCTCTACATCTACAGTATAAGCAGAGTACATTGCTGCTGGTAGTTGTTGTGCTGAGATCTTGTGGTTAAAGCAACAACTACTAGATTATGTAGTCAAAACAAAGTAACAATATTTTGGGACAATCAAAGTGCTATAGCCATCTCACAAAATCCAGTGCATCATTCTCGCACTAAGCAAATTGATGTCAAGCATCACTTCATTAGAGATCATGTGGAAAAGAAGGACATTAGAATTGAGTACATCTCAACTGAAGAACAATTGACAGATATTCTCACAAAACCACTAAGTGAAGCCAGGTTTTCCGAATTGCTTCACACAATTGGTCTAATTCAATTAGACAGAATGCGGTACACGTGGTTGTCCACTTACCACGTCTGATAAAGCAATGGGTAGGCACGTGGCCTTGGGAACAGTTAAAAACCCAATCGCCACCAGCTGCATAAATCGCCCAAAATTAAACCCAATCGCCACTATATTCAGATCTCAACTGCCCACTCAACCCACTCAAATCTTCATCGTCTTCCTCGCGAGAAAATCTCAGAAGAACCCTAATTTCTTCAAGTTCTTTCTCCCAAAATTCAACAAAAATGAAGGTTGGAGGCGCGAACGTCCACTTCAAGAAATTTGAAGCCAAATGCTCTTCACCAGCATTCTACAAGGCATATCGGGAGATGATTGAAGCTCAAGAACTCTCTGAATTTCTTCATCTAGAAATTCTTTTCAAATATGAAGAAGAAGTTCTGGAATTCTACAGAAATGGGAAAATCAAAACCATCCAATCCAAAAAGAATCCACAAAGGTCGATTCAAATCATTGAATCAACTGTTGGAGGCACCAAAGTGAAGATCTCACAGAAGAAGATGAAAACGAAGCTTCACCTTCCCAATTCTGGAATTGATGTTGGGAAGCTCACATACAAGAATCTGGACTGGAACAAAATTGGGATTTCTCGACAAGTCCCCTCTGGCCAAGCAAAGAAGGCTGATTTGAAGAATGACTACAACTTAGTCTTGGAGCTTGTCATAGCATGTCTGGAATGTGGGAGTGGAGGACATGCAGATGACATCACCTAGGAAAGTGCCTTCATCATCAATGCCCTCATTACCAAAACAAAGGTAAATTGGGCTAAACACTTCTTTAATTCCATTTCCAAGCACTTAGGTGTTGGACATGAGTTCAAACCCCTTTATTATTTTTTTTCTGGAATATTTTTGTTTTGATAAATAACAAACAGGATGATAAAATTCAAACGATGATCCAAAATTTACTTTTCGTACCAAGAAAAGAAAAGAGGCGTATCAAGAATGTTACGGGATAAAAATCGACGCTCCCCCACGCAGTTTTTTGAAGTGATGTAAAGACTCCGAAGACTTTTTAATTTTTTATTGAGTCTAGGATTCTTGTAAGGATGACAATATCTTTAGCACAAAACAATTTAATTTCTGAGGGATAAAAATTATTTTAGAGTCAGTTGAAAAATCACTTTTTCTCTGTCTAAAATATTTTAGTAAGTCAGTTTCAAAATAAGTGTGTCAAAATTTCTTTAAAACATTTTTTTTAAGGTTACACAATTTTCTTTGGTGAGAAAAACATACTTTAAATATTTTTCGTATACATCGTTTGACACACAAAATAATTTTTGGACTCACTTTTTCTCCCCTATTCAAATTCATTGAATAAGGATATTATTTGTTTGAGGAGCACTTCTTTATTCTCGCTGTCTCAAACAAGGAGTTAGAAGCCAAAGGGCTTCCAATCGCGCTTGGCTTGGGCCCTTTGTGTTTGCGCATTATTTTCATTTTAATCGATTATATCCTTTAAAATAATCGATTAGATCCAGCGCAATTTCTCAGGGTTTGAATTCTTAATCGATTTTCTCTATTAAAAAAAATTGATTAGCTTGGACAAAACCTCCTAATCGATTTATTTCTTCAATTTAATCGATTTTTAAGCCTTTCGTTGGGCTGCTCAACCTTGATCAATAATCGATTATTTTTCCTCCTTTAATCGATTAGTTTGTACCGAACCTCCTAATCGATTATTTGTCTTCATTTAATCGATTATGACTCAGTTTTCTTTCAGGCTTTTCGCTTCTGTACACTTTAATCGATTAAAATTCCTAATTTAATCGATTAATTCTCTCTAGTACAAAACATCAGCTTTCTTCAATGGCTTTATTTTCCTCAGCCTATTTAATCCCTCATTCTCCTTCATTTCAATACACACCTCTTGCACTCCAATATATTTCTTTGAGCTATTCATCCTTTGCTTCATCTTCCTCATCAAAATATTATTTTTGAGAGTTAGAAATATTTTTTTGAGTGCTATAGAAGTTGTCATCCATAGAGCTTAAATTTTCAACACTACTTTGCTCAATTGTGTGAGCTTTCATTCTTGTGTTGTAAACTCAATCTCATTTGAGTGTTGTTCTTAAGACTTGTGTGACTCAAGTCTTGTTGTTGTAAGAAAGTGAGGCTTGTGTGATTCAAGTTCTCAAGTTGTACCGGTTTTTCAAGCACCCGTTGAAGCTTGAAGATTAGTNTTAGTAGGACTTTCGAGAGAGTCTCTCGGAGGACTGGACTAGCCACGAGGTGGTGAACCAGTATAAATCCCGGTGTTCTTCTTTCCCTTACTCTCTTTACTTATTCCTGCGATAATTTTTACGAAAAACGCACATTCTTGAAAACAACTCTATTCACCCCCCCTCTAGAGTTGCACATTTGTCTAACAATTGGTATCGGAGCGGGAAGTTCTTCGAATACGTTATTTTTTTCAGGAAACTAAAAGATCAAATGGCATCAAGGATGTTCAACGCAGGAGTGACCGAGGGACAATCAACCACGAGGCCACCTTTGTTCGATGGAACAAACTACTCGTATTGGAAGGAGAGGATGAGAATCTTTATCCAATCCAATCCCGATGAAGAAAGTCGGTGAAGTCAACGTTCCCAAAACCGAAGAGGAGTTCACTGACGAAGATTGCAAAAAGATGGAGTTCAACGCAAAGGCAATAAACATGATTTATTGCGGTGTTAATGCGGATGACTACCGCAAAATTTCGCGGTGTGAAACCGCAAAACAAATGTGGGAGAAATTGGAGGTCACCTACGAGGGAACCGCGCAGGTTCGGGAGGCCAAAATCGACCATCTTACTCACGAGTACGAACTCTTCTCAATGAAGGAAAACGAGAAGATTGAGGAAATGTTTGAGAGGTTCTCTAACATCATTAATCATCTCAATCTTCTCGGGAAGACCTACACCGACCGAGAGCTCGTGAGAAAGGTGCTGCGAAGCCTATCCCCCAAATGGCGTTCAAAGGTGGACGCAATCGAAGAAGGTCGTTACTTCCAAACAACGACCTATGATGCTCTTTGAGGTAATCTTATTACCTACGAAACCACCCAACTCTCAAAGGTGGTTGAAGAGAGGAACAAGAGGTCTATTGCTCTACCCGCAACAACATCAACCCACAACAACGTTGATGATGAAGATGATGACAGCGACGACACCGACCTCGGACTCTTTGTCCGAAAATTCAAGAAAATGATGCTCAAGAAGGGAGCCAAGAAGAACAATCCACCCAAATGCTATGGGTGTGGTGAAATTGGACACATCAAACCAATGTGTCCGAAGTTTAAGAACGAGAAGGACAAGAGGGCACCGAAGAAGCAACGTGCCTACATCTCTTGGGAGAACGACGGCTCCGGGAGTGAAGACTCAGAAACAGAGGAAGTAGCCAACTTATGCCTAATGGCCATTGAAGATGGTGATATATCAAAAGAGGTAAGTGATCAAGAACTTTCTCCCAATGAGCCTTTAACTCTTAATGATGTTGTTTGCATTACAAAAGATTTAGTAGGAATGTTCAAAAAGGCTTCCAAAGAAAATAATGAAGTTAAACAAAAAATCCTGATATTTGAGAATGATGTAAAAGAACTCAAAAATATAAATGATAAACTTAAACAAGAAATTATCTCTTTTGGAAAAAGGCCACAAGAACCTTCAACTACTTCTTCTTCTACATGCTCTAGTTGTACTTCATTAAAAGCTAAAGTTGCTACTTTAGAAAGTAAATTGGGAATGTTCAATAATGCTTCAAACACCTTAGATAAAATACTTAAGCAAAAAGTTAGTAATGGTGAAGGACTTGGATATAAGAAAAACCAACCTAGAAAAACAACATTTGTTAAAGCTAGGGGGAATAAAAATGCTAGGATAAATAATCAAACTAGAAGAGCACATCCTAGCAAACCTAGAACTCATTACACTCAACCATATAGGATGAATAATCCAAATGTTATTTGCCACTATTGCAATAAGATAGGTCACATTGCACCCGTGTGCTTCACCAAAATTAGGCATTTTCAACAAACGCACACACATCGCACATATGCTAACCAAAAAGGACCCAACAATA